TAAAGAACATGGAGATCAAAGTCCATTACAGGGAATATACAAGGTTGGTTGAGTGTATATGAAAAAACAGTGGAAATAAAGCTAAGGAAGGGACTAAGTAAGACACCCAAGTAAGATCAAGAGACATTAAGACCATGAAAGTCCTTCTCATTTTCAATCAAAACACATTTGTAGAATAGGAACTAAATCAACCGTAGATGAGTTGTCTGAGGTTTATACATGAATGATATTTTACCACTATATACTGAGCATCCCTCAATCATCTACTACTACATACGTGCATATAAACAAAACAAACAAAAAGTATGATGAATAGAAATAATCAGCATGTAAATAATTTCAAATTTTGGTAGATGTTCACTTAAACTGTTTTCATACATACCTCTGATATGAAAAGAGCCATCATCATTTCTCTCTACCACAAGATGATCAATATGAACGGTTACAGGAGCTTGTTCAAGGGATATTGTACTACTACGAGGACTATCATCCTACAGGAAAAAGAATTAGTATTGGCATGTTGTTATTAAAGTAAAAGATAAAATTAATCATTTTCCTGAAACATCACTTCAGCCAATAATGCTTTTAATGAGTTTGAAATACATCTTTTCATGCTTTAGTTGATATAGGAAGAAAACTGTCCATTATATTTTTCATATTTCCTAATTTCTAAGAATCACTACATCATTCACAACAAAGACCAATGAATTCATGTTCTTAATATGAATCAGAGTCCAGGTAGGCAAAGTGAACATTTATAACATGAAAATACAAAACTATTTAACATACCTTTAAATTTATTTTTGTGTTAGAAACTTGTATCTTCATTGGCATTACTGTTGCAACAGTTTCATCTTCCAAAAAATGCTGAATATTCATAAGAGAAGATGTAAGAAACTCAGTGCTAAAGTTTTCTATACGGCATTGCAAAAATCCATTTTTTTCTGCAAGCAAAGAGTGTATTACAGCACCGGGCCCACTTTCAAATCTCAGAGTAATCTCAGGAGAGGATTTAGAATGAATTACTGCTTTATGGTCTGACCCTACGAAAAAAGAACAAAAATTACAACTTTGTAGCACTACTCAAAAATGCCATTCTCAATTATTTGTCATTAGGAGGTTGCTGTCATTTTGTACAATGGTAAAGCAATAAAACAGATTAAAGTTTTAATAGTTACTCTTAAATTATATTTATAGTACATATACAACATACCATATACAACCCTAATTTCTCAATTTCCATTTTTACACACAATCTTCTGCAATAATGCTGTCTTGTCTAGTATTTTTCATATATTTAAAAATCTTGATAACATGAAAAACATGCCATAATATAAGTCTGATAGAATGTATACCTCAGATATTTTGAGTGTCTCTGAGTGTGTACCTATGTACACATTAATAATAGACAACTTGATGAAAAAACTCATGGCACTTAAAATGACTCAAGCCACTTCAAGAAGTGACTAAAGCCTGTACATTCTTCATTAAAACTGGGTCTGTAAGTAACTGGAACAAACAATAAATAGAGAAGATCTCATTAAAATGTTTCTATTACAAGATAATCTTAAAACTAAAATTATAGCAAAGGAAACATTTATGTATATACATATATATTCACATTTATTTATGTCTTGGCCTTGTTCCAAATAAGAATTTGAGGTGGCTTACAGAGCTATGTATACTCAAGTTCAAAAAAATTTTTTTAATTTCAATAAAGCAGCCATAGAATATCTTTAAAAATAAATGTTCGTAGTGGAACCACTTAAGTGAATTGGCCCTCATGGTAACTATTTTATTTTACACTACCTAGCTCCAAAAAGAATAGGAGGCAACATACACATCACATAATCAGATTAAAAAAAAATAAGTAGGGAATAAAAAAGGTAAAGATAGGCAGTAAGATCATTAACTCAAAATACATTATTTAAATTTCTGTACCAAAGGTAGAAATAGCTTCCTAGCAGCAAAGAGAAAAATACAATCAGTTTCACAACTCATGAGTTAAAAACAACTAACTATTCTAGAAAGGTATAGCTGTTTGGGTTATTGAGGTTTAAAGTTATCTGTTCCATGGGACCTTAGAAGAAGAGCTCACTAACTAAATTCATGATGAAAAGGTGTTTATTTTCTCACAGTATGGGGGTAAATATTTTAGTTTTACAGAAGTCAAATGTATACATATTTATGAAGGGGAGAGGAGTAGAATAAATTAAAGATACATATATTTAGGCACTAAAGATAGACTTCCATGTACAACTTAACGTGTAGAGCTGATTTTAAAACTTTTATTATAATAGGGTACAAAATGATATTTAATTAATGTTATCACTACTTATTAACATTCAAAATAGATACAGAAGAGTACAAATAGATTCCCAAGGAATTCTTTAAATGATTAAGAAATCAGGTATTTTTATTTTTTAAATAAAAGGTAAAATAAATGTCCACAAATTAATAATGGTTAGTGTCTTTCCTGTATCAGTAAAAATAAGACTTAATTAACTTGTCCTCATGCACAGTAAGATCAATTTGAAACAACTTGTAAATTTAATTTTATTTGGCTTTTTATCTATCTATATATCTACATCTCTATCTACACACACACACATACACACACACATTTACTCACTCCAAGGAACTAAGACCCATAAGTAATTTCAAACAAGAACGGTACAGAGGAGAGATAAAACAAAACAAAATCTTCATTAGTCAAAAATCACTCCTTCCTACTACCTTTATGCCATGAAACTTTTAGTAAGGTCCAATATTCACACATTATAAAAAAATAAAAACAAACAAAAGCAAAAACAACTTTGCAATTTTAATTGTTCGTATCAGAGTGACAGCAGTGTATATAAACTATAGATCAAATACAATCTTTGTTTGTATGCCTTATTAATATTTTAAATATTCAAGTTAAATGATTTTGTTTTCTCCTTTCCCTTTATTCCCTTTTCCTTTCTTTTCTTTCTTCTTGCTATCTGTTTATTTTTAAACAACCAACTGAGACAGTTGGGAAAAAAAATAAGGTATTAGATAGCACTGACTATATAACCCATACATACAAGTCATTTCAAAATTATTTCCACAGTTATTTATGTCCTCAGTTAGGAATAACATGAAACAAAGTAATAGGACATAGTTAAGAAAGGGGCTATAAAGAGAACTTTAAAAAAAAAAAAAACAAGTGCAGTGTAGCTGGAAATAATCCAAGAGTGTACAATATTCCAAGAGTTTGGGATGGGTATAGAACATGGTCTAGCTTTTGAAATTTTACATTCAATCTTTTTATGTAGCTTATTTTGGTCTATTATGAAAGCTTTCTAACTATATACTTAGCTTCCTCCATTTTGTATGTTATTAGGATTTACACTTGTTAATATAAAATTCTTGAAATTTTTTTAGCAAATATATTGTAAACTATAAGGCCTACACAAAGAAAAAAGCCATAAGCCAATTTTTCCTATGATGCTGGTTTATAGTCAAATGGCACATTTCCCTGCAATTCCCATATGTAAGGTGATAGCATACTTATTTGATATCATGCAGGACTGTATGTATTTCAACATGTTACATATCAGATATAGCGTTCTGTGTATATAGCAAAGAAAAATGATACAGCTCAGTGACTTTTCAAAAGACTTAAAAAAATGAACATTATCATTTAAAATTCTTGGTATAGCATTTCTTTAAATGACTGAAAACCATGAGTGATAATCCCATATAAACTTTGAGAAAGGGATGGCTTAATGTGGTATTTCTCTTAATACACTGTGTGTTTCCTTGCATATATCTTTCTATGTCTAAGCAAATGTGTTGATCTTAGAATGAGGAACACAGGAATAGGATATACGATTTTTCCAAATACCAAGTATCATGCCAGACTTAGGAAATGTTTGCTTATAAGCAAGATAATGGAATACAGAAATTGACACTTATTCTAGTATGGAACTAAATTTGACCTTTTGGGGTTCCTTTCTCACTCTTTTCATATAGAAAAGATCTTAGTTTCCTCAGACCTAATATCACAAAGAATGGGAAGACTGAAAAAGTTAAAAGATGGAACTTATTAAAAGCAGAAACAAAAAGAAATTAAAGAATACATCTTCAACAGCTTATATCTCTAAAATCTTAAAGTACAGATATTAGGTAATCTAAGAGAATAAACCTCTTGCATTATTATAAATAAATGTCATTTTCCTTGAGTTCATTCATATCAAAGAACTGCTGATGAGTCATTCATATACAATGCAAAACAAGTTTAAATCATATTAAAGTCTTACCTACTGGACGATTACAAAGGTAATGCCGAAGACTGATATTGCCTAATTGATCTGGTGTCACTTGGTCCACTTGAAGACAGATTTCCATGTCTTCCCCTCGGATGTCAATCTCCCCATTAACACCAGTAATTCTAAACACCACAACTGACATCTAATAATGATTGCATAAATAATATTAGTATACCAAATCATTCAAAGCAAAATTTAGGAACAACACAGGAAACTACTATAACCTCTAAAAATACAACTGTGGCCTAATAAACGAAAAATGTTGTGATTAATAAAAAGTGGTTATTACATTATAGTGACAACTTATAAGAAGAAAGCTTATAGGAAGAAAACCTATAGAAAGAAAGCTTCCAAATAGCTTTCTTCCTATTTGGTCAAGAGAATGTTTTTAGGTCACAAAGATTAATTATATGACGTTTCTATGTGAAATTATTTTCAATAAAAGCTGAACATATTTTCTAAGTCATCCATAAAAGTATTTCACTGGGTTAAGAGAGCTTAAAATAAACCAGTAACATACTTCTTTTGTAGATAGCCCCTCTACAGGAGGGGACTGACTACCATCCTTACCATCAAACATTTTCAAAGTGTACTTAAATTCAACTAAAATAAAGGTCAAAAATAAAGGATGGAAAAAAGGCAGAATATTCCCTTATCAATACAGAAAAAAAATTTTGAAAAGTGAAATTTAGAGAAAGACAATTCAGTAAGAGGGTAGGAAGAATTTTCAATGGTAGAAAGAGTGAAGTGAATCATCCATAATCTAAATCAATTCATTTTATATATTAATGTCTTAAAATGTATACATATTGAATATGAAATAAAGTTGGTGGCATTTCTCTTCATAGAGTGTCTCTGAAATGATTACCAGGTCATCATGACTTTCTTGAGCACCCTCTGAATTTGTACTGATGGCATCTGGAGAGGTTTTACCATAATTCTGTAGGTTTGCACTGGCATTTGTGCTCTCTTCTGGGCTCTGGTAATTTGTAGTTGAGTTCTTTTTAATACCTGAAATAATACAAACATTTGCTAAAAAATTAAAATCAGTTTACATGTGATCCAACAATGTTACATTTATCTAACCAAAATAGACTATTCTTTCAACTCTTTCTTAAGCATAGCCTTATCTAAAAGATAATAAGCAAAGAAAACTTAAATTGTGGTTAGTTAGCAAATAATATGAAAAAACTTCACACAATGAAATGTTAGACATACTAAACCCTACACTTAGACAGCTGACCGCAGCCTGTGCTCTCCCCATTGCAGGTATGGCGCCGGCGTCACTAGCAGGTTCCTGGTCAGCCAGCTTTGCCTCCTCTATTCCATTCTACATTCAACAGTACCAGACTGACCACTTCATTCTCTTTTCAGTATCCTACAGTTCATCTACATGAGGTTAATGCGACTACTGTCATTGTGACTGTTCTCCATCTTTATCAACTTACCTTAATTTCTTAATGTGCTATATTTCAATATTTCTCAAACTCTCTATGGTAAAAGACAATTAAAAAAATTTCTGTGTCCATAACAGATCAATACTTAAAAAAAAACCAGAAAAAAGAAACATTGAAGTACAAATGAATCTAGAAAAATTAGAAGAGCCCTAGACACAAAACAAAGCCACCATTTTTTCCACTTCCATCTTGCAAGGATTCTGATGTTATACAATCACAAAATAAAACAACACAACACAAAAACAAAAAGCTAATAATTATAACACAAAACCAAAAAGCTAATAATTCTGGAAATGACTTCAAGGATTAAATCACCAAATGATATAAGCAATAAAGTCAGTCTCTGCTTAAATGGTAGTATTTTACCAAGCTTCTCTTTGCTGTTGTTAGAAACATTATTACAAGTCTTCATAACACTTCACTACATGCATTACAGAATGAGTATCACTTCCATTCACTGAAACAATACTCTGCTCAATGCAGCCTCCAAGTAGCTTGTTAGAAATTTTTTTCTCAGATGTACATTATAATTTGACATCTTTATTCACTAAGAAGTGATCACCACCAAGTCTAGTTTATCTTCTATAACCATACAATTGATTCCCTTCTCCCAGTCTGCCTCATCCTCCCACCTTCTCTGTAAACATCAATCTGTTCTCGGTATCCATAACCTTGTTTTTAATTTTTTAATCATTTGATCATTTTTTAATCATTATATTTACTGCTATATAATCAGCTTCTAACTCAGCATCTGATAAAATAATAGGTGTTCAATAAATTACTGAATAAATAAATAAAACAATTTTCAGAGCCAGGGAAAATACACAGAAATACAACTGTGGTAAGAGGAGATAATAAACTCCCATTTCACAGTGAGTTCCTAACATTGCCAGGGGTTAAGAAAGTTTCCCTGATAAAATAACATTTAAGCTAAAGTAAACAGAAAAAAACAGCATTCTAGGCATAGGCACAATGACTGAGAAAGTTAGTAATAGTGAAGAGATTGAGAGAAAGACTGAAATATATTATAGTACACCTGAAGTGTAGTAAACATGTAGGGAACAGCAGAAGTTAACCTCAGGCCATATTACACAGAGCACTGTCAGTAATGTTGTTTATCAAACTTAACAGCCTTACAACAGAAGTTATTAGGACTAAAACTGGAAAATGACATGATAGTATTACCTTTTTAAAAGAGTATTCAGCCTATAAAATGAAGCATGAACAGGGAATTGACAAGAATAGAAGCCTGTGTTGGTAGTCCAGTTATGTGTTTGTTCATAAATATGTATGTGTATTTAAAAATACGTGTACATACACATACACATACATGTGTATGTCTGTATACATATATGTCTTAGTGTGCATTGTATAAACATACATATATATATATATTACATATATACATATACACACACAGACACACACACACAAAGAAAAAGGTATGGAATTATGTCTACCTAAAGTTGATGGTAGTTATGTCTGCAATTGGGAATGATATCAAGGGCAGAGTAAGGGTGGTATTAAAGTGATATCTTAAATTTTTACTCTAGATATTTCCATAATATATTTTTTGACAATGAGAAAATATTCATATATTACTAGTAAAATTAAAACAAAACCCACACCACAAAATGAATCTTTTCCTAATAAAAATCTATTCTTCTGACATAAAGAAAATTATTACAGTTCAGGAGAACTAATAGAGTCACATATCAACTTAATATTAATGCCCTTGTCTTTTTCAAGTTCCTAAGAACAGTCTACTGCTGGAATCTATTCTAAGACGGTAATAAAACATGCAGACAAAAATTTATGAACAATTTTAATTATAGCATTGTATAACTGTGAAAAACTATAAACAATCTAAACATCCAATATCAGGGAAATGATTAAAAGACCAGGGTGCATTCTTATGAGAATTTAATATAAACAGGTCATAAAATGCAGGTTAAAAAAACCATATGTGGTGTGATACCAAATATAAATGTATATATATAAATTAATAAAATAAATAAAAGTTGGTATCACTAGATTGTGGGATTTTTTTTATTATTTTATTTCCCAAATTATAGTTGTTTGTATTTTCCAAGTTTCCACATTAAGTGGTAGTCACTTTTGTTATTTAATTTTCAGAAGTAATAAAAAGAAAATCACTGATAATTTTTGAGAAAAAGTAGATATTTTCCATAGAAACACTGTTTTTGAAGCATAATTTGATCACAGAATAGAAACCCTCTATTAGAGCAGAATTTTAAACCATAAAGGGGGAAAAGGAATTAGGCAATAGAACAGTCTGTGAATCTAGAATAGATTTTTATGACCCCTATCAGTACCTCTTCTACATTTAACTGACAGAGTATGCTGGAAAGGAGACTGCTATGAATTGCCTACAACAGGGTTGGATTAGGACTTTTCATTTACATATAGTAATCTTCTCCCAAGGCTGAGGGGTTAGCATAGCATTCTGGTTGGTTAAAAGCTTAGGCTCCTGAGTCAGACTAGCTGGGTTCCAAATCTGCATCTCTTCCTGACTATACACTCATTTCTTTAAGTTTTAGTTTCTGAAGCTATGAGCCTTTCCTTACCTGAGCTGTTTTCAACTGCATCAACAGGATTGTTACCCTCTATATACAAAGTAATTCGTATTTGCCTCTAGTCTCATGCTTCAGGATTTGTGGCAACTACTCTCTAGTTGTAGCCCTGGTTTTATTCCTGTTCACAAAGTCCCTAATGCCTTAGTGATGGGGATGTATGTAACACTAAGTCATCCCCAGTGGTCTTTACTGGGAAATTAATTTTTTCTGAATAAAATCGGAGAATCATGTAATTCCATCATATACTATCATGTATGAGAGAGAATCTTTGTTATAGGAATCAGTAGATCCAGTCCGGAAAAATTCCAATTGTAGGACCATAGAATTGAGAACTCACCATGCAAATTAAGCCTACCTAATCAAAATTTCAGATACAGGAGTCTTTGTGATAGAGGCTAGTAATATTAATGGTATCTGCTTTATGATATAAACAACTGTATATAAATAATTGCTGGGTGTCATCCATAAAAAAGGAGTATCTGGTCAAAAGAAGCAATGGAACAATCATTAGAAAGTTAGGTACAATGTTCTTTATAGTGTGTATGTATATGTGTATAAATAAGTCTTTTTGGGGCTGTGATTAATTATTGAATATAACTAATAATACTTAAACACCACTTCTAAGATTTATGTATATATAATATGAATTCTTAAACTGTATTGCCTTACCTTTTTCCAGAAATATATGAGTATCACTTCCATCACTTTCTAACAACTGTTCTTCCAATATCATGCTGTCAAGTGAAATGGTATCCAATGAGGTTTGTGAGGGGCTTCTTTTCATGTTCTTATAAGAAACAGAGAGTGGAACCAGGGTAGGTGGGCAATATTCCTTAGGCTTTCCACTGTTAATGAACAAAATTATTAGAAAACCATCATATATAAGGAAAAGAATTCTTAAAAAAATACTTCAAATAAAACAAAAATATGTATCCAGAAGTTTTTAAATTATGCTTATAAGTATAAGCTCAAAGTCTTTTCATATTTTGAAAAGCCTACTGTTCCATGTGTTAACTCTAACAATGCTACATTTTGTCATGAGGTTTTCTGTCCAAAACCAAAATACACTCATAAGCACATGTACAAGCGTGCATGCACACACACACATACCAAAACAATCCTCCCCCCACATCAAATTCCAACAGTATGTTACCTTAAAGATGACTGTGATTTAAGTGTCCTTACTGTGGGTGCTTCTTCTTTACTGATTTCCAAGTTCTCAGAGAGTGAAGCTGTTTCTGGAAGCAAGCCTTCACCTTTAAAGATCAACTCTATGGTTTCATTTCCTTTACTATTTATATTATTTGAAAGTATGTTTTGATGACCACTATTATCAAATGACAGCATACTTGAATCTTCTCTGTAGTTTAAGACACTGTTTGAATCTGTACAAGATGAATTCTTTCTGTCACTTGTTTCTGATCCAATTTCTCCTGAGTCACTTTTGCAAACAATTCCACTACTTTCATCTTCACTTATTTTCCCTAAATTTTTATCTGATAAATAATCCAGAAAAGAAATACCCTTTTGCAGATTTGTATCACTAGCTGATTTAAAAAGCAAAGAATCCTTCAAAGGGACATGGCTAAGGTCAACACTCATAGATCTGTTGTCTGACATATGATTGACAGCTACACTTCTAATTTTATTTATACCACTGCTAACTTGTTTTCTCTTTGAAGACAAGAATTCTCCATTTTCTGTAGGCAAATAATCAGGAACCACTGGACTCACACTTTCAGAAACAGGAGACTTAAGGGTATTTGCTTGATCCACTGGATGTAGCAAAAGAGCCACTTCCGCACTTTTAAGTAAAATTCCAATGCAAACGGATGTCTGACTAGCAGGACTGCCAGTCACAGCTTCTACATCTTTCCTCAGATTCTCTGAAAGTACAATAAGTGACTCATGGAGGAAAAGCAGGAGCAAATACTGGTAGTGATTGATCTGAATACTGACATGTTTATGAACACGAACCAAGACATGAATATCTGCATCTGACGACGAAGAGGAAAATCTTAAAAATGTATCCGAAGGAGGTTTCTGACTATCATTTGTCGAGGGATCAGACTCTGCACTATAATACTCCTTCAAGAGCTTTTTCCGCTTCCACCGGCCAGTCAGATCACTGGATTCACTTTGTGATGTATTTAGAGATAGTTGATTACAAGTCTGCAGCTCTTTTTGTGACACTGCATACCTTGTTGGTTGACAAATCCAGATGGAAAGAGGGAAAGAATCTACAAAACTTATTGGCCGTCCTTTTCCACTTTTCATCCCTTCATAATCTATCCAAAATTGAGAAAAATACACAGCCCAAACGTCTGTGGCAGCAGAAGTTTTAAGAGTGTGTTTATTCAACTTGGGAATAATATTTCCTTTATAAACTTCATGCATTTTGGTATCTTGTTCATAAGCATGTCTCTGGAAGATTGGATGCAGAAGATTAAAATTGTCACCAGATTTGGGGAAGCTAGTGTATGTTTTACTGAAAAAATCACAATCTTTAAAGTCTTGAAACAAAGCTTCTAGATCAGAATGTCGACAGTTTGGACAGTGCCGTGTATTTGTAGCAATCATTTCGGAACTCTGAATAGAAACTGCATGTGGTTGATCTCGATGACATTCAGATTTCATTTCAGAAGGAATGACAAACTAGAAAAGCAAAAACATTAATCCAGTCTGATTTATAAATCCATACCTCTTGAAGATAAAATAATCAAGACTATTACTTAGCTCAGGAAATCCTTTTGACATTTCTCTCCAAAACACTACTTTCCTATCCAGACATAAAATACTAACTCCCTTCCCCCATATCTTTTTATTATACCAGGTGAAAAAGACTTAAATGATTAACCACTAAGAAAGAACTGAAAAAAAAAATGAATAATGTACATAACATATATATTTGCATACAACATATCACAAAGTAAAAGAACAAAACTGAGTTAAATCAATATTATTAAATGCTTGCTATGCCCTGAGTATATATAAGAAAGTGCTAAGTTTGGAAAAGGGAATTTTGTTATGATATTTTAAATCCAAGAAATTTGGAGGATGATTAGATAAATAAATGGAATGACTGGATAATTGCCAGTAGATCACTTTTCTGAGAGAAAACTATTAAGAAAGTAAACTTAAGACTACAGGTCAAATTATCTACTAAAGTCATTTTCTACAGATTATTAAGCCCAGTCTTCAAAACATTCATAACAAAGAGTTCAAAGTGACTCATGTTAAAAGTCAAACTGTGCATAAGCAGAAAATGTAAAGATTATCATATAATCATATTTTAAATTACAATTAGAAATGTCACAAAATATATCTCTTTATATTGAATATGTTAAGATCTCTGAAAAGATCTTTAAAACATTTCTGCAATGCAACTGTTTAGTACTGTTAACCTCATTTTATAGAGAAGTTAAGGGTACATAAATTTAGTCTACCAGTAACAGATCTTAAAACTGAAATATTCATCCATGCCTAAATTTTATTCTATTTACTATACTATAGTAGATTTTTTCCCATTAAATTCCTTCCTTTAAAGCTTAAATACCCATGGGATTCTGATAATCAACTACTTGATTGTAATAAAAAGGCAACTTTCTATTACCTTTGGATATTAATAATGGAGTAAGTGTAAACAAATAAAACCCAGATATAACTTAAAAGCATTTACCATTCTTAAAAAATAACTTTTTTTTAATCAGCTCTGGTAAGAGGTAGGGGAAAATGATATTTAAATTTACTCCTACTGCTTACCTCCAAATAGATGAGTAGTGGGGGAAAAAAATAGAAGAAAAGCAAAGAAAGAAGAGGAGGGAGGGAAATAGTCTCTTAAAGATTCTATAACTGAAAGCAAAACTGAAATTTCAAAATCAAAATTAAAATTGCAATGAAGTTGGTTTATATCTGAGCACCCATTTTAAATCCTGGAAATTACAATGCTGATAACTTTTATTCTGCAAAAATGATTTTGCTCTGACAGCCACTTGTTTATATGGTACCTTTAGCATTAAGCCATCAACTCGAATATCAACATGCTCATCAGATTTTGAATTGTCATTCAACTTGTATACAGCCATAAATTGATTAAGACTCTGTTTTAAATCCAACAGAAACTGATTTAACCATAGAATACTTCTTTCATCCACAGTAAATTGTAGTGCATTCAGCTGGCTATAAAGGTTGGGAGATGGAACTGTGGAGAAAAAAATTTAAAAAGATTCTTAATAAACAGCGCTAAATCTTCCCTGAGAACAGAAAATACATTAACAAGTTTTATTCTATTTTAATTAAAATAAAAAGGCTTTGAGATGTTATTTACAAAATTAAAGTGACACATGTGGATGATAGCAAATACATTATTAGACAGACAAAAAATATTTTTCTATGCTTCACTAACTGAAAAATATACAGTTCAATCTAAAACTAATTGTATAAATAAGAGGTACTGTTTTGATTTCTTTTCCTAATGTTAGAGTCACCAAGAAGCAAACTTCAAAAAATGTTGACTTCTTGAAGTATCACATCAAAGCCATGGTCCTTAATCACATATTTCTGTAGGGACTTACTACCCGAATCTTAATCTGAATTCTCTAAAATGACAGAACCAAGTCTAATGACTAATTTCTTATGAAAGTGGTAAGCTAGGCAGTTCTCCTTGAGAACAGAAAGACCATTCACAGTTTTATCTTCCACTTAATCCTAAGCCTAGAAGTGTTGGGTACAAAGTAAGAACTCAAGTATCTCTTGAATAATCAAATGAATACATTCTTTTTCATAGCTCCTCGAAAATATTAGAATGCTTAGAGGTTGAATAAATGTTTTAATGGTAATTTATATTAAGCTAATATTTATAATTAGAGTATACATCACTCCCTGAAATCCGTATCTATTGTTTCATAAAAGCCATTAATGTTTTCAGAGCATCTTGATAAAGATCTTTTTATTCCAAAAATTCACACCTATTTACTTCTACCAAAGCAAACAGTATGAATAGCTAGAACTTTTAGACTACATTAATTTAAGGAAAATAAACCCAAGGTGTGGGATACCAGTAGGAAGACAGCATTGTAACAATGTTCTTAGTAAGATTTTGTTTTGTTTTCATTCCTGACTTTCTTTCAGCAAAGATTCAATGAAGCCAGCTACATTCTATGTATTGAATTAAGCACAAAGAATTTTAAAAAGGGGCACAGTCCTTTCCTTTGAAAGTCCATAGATTATTATACGAGACAGACATGAAAGCAGAAAAATTATTATTAAAATACAACAGAGACATCTTAATGGGACGTTGATGTGTTTGCCTTTGAGAATAGTAAGGAAATAGTGTTGCTGAGGAGATCACGTCAAGAGAAGAATCAGGAGAGGGAACTTCTAGTATAGACAGAGTGATGATGGCAGCCACAGAGAAAACCAGAGAGCAAACATAGTTCAGAAGGATAGAACAACCCTGACTGCAAACCTGGGAAAGAGCAAGAAAGCTGGTACACCAAGCGGTAGAAAGACTAACGGGGTCTACTTATGAAATAGACTAGTAAGTAGCTATTAAAAGATATTTAAAATGAACTTGCAGAAAACTAGAATCATTAAGGGAAAAAGGCCAGGATGTAAATCAAATATATTAAAGAAACACATACATTAAAAACAGGACCAACATTATACTTATTGTTATGGTCTGAACTGCATCCCCTCAAAATTGATATGCTGAAGTTCTAACTCCCAATACCTCAGAATTAACTGTATTTAGATATAGGGCTTTTAAAGAGGCAATTATGGTATAACTGAGTTCATATGGGTGGGCCCCAGTTCAGTATGACAGGCGTCATAAGAAGAGGAGATTAGAAAACAGACACAAACATAGAGGGAAAACCATGTGAGAAGACAGCCATCTACAAGCCAAGGAGGAATGTCTCTGAGCTAACAACCCTGTCGATACTTTGATCTAGAACTTCCAGCTTCCAGAACTGTGAGGAAATAAATTTCTGTTGTTAGAATCATCCAGTTTTTGGTACTTTGTTATAGCAGCCTTAGCAAACGGATACACTTATGTTAGGAAAAGTTGTCTTAAAATTATAGGCCCGTTGGCAATTTTTAAATTTTTAGTATTTCCTTTCTTTTTTAACATAATGAACATATGTTATGTTTAAATTATTTGTAAAAAGTTATATATTTTTACAGATTGGATCACTTAACAGAGAGGTGAAACATAAGAACTGAAAATGGATCCCTATACCTTAGAATTCAATATACTATGCTCTTTACTATTGTGTATGTTTCAAATTTTCCATAATAAAAAATTAAATTAGAAACAATTAAACATAACCTACCAATTTCACTCCTAGGTATCTAGGAGGCTAGGGTTTAAATTGCTGGGAAAGAATTTTACATTTTATCAGAAGAAAAATGTATAGATTGTAGATTGGAACACTTCATGGATTTGTGTATCATCCTTACACAGGGGTCACACTAGTCTCTGTATCGTTTCAAGTTTTAGTATATATACTGCTGAAACAAACAATTCCTTTGGCACAAGTTAACAAAACTGATAGAAATAAATCTAGATTAGACGTCAGAAATCCTGGAAACTATACTTTTCACTCCCAGGAAAAATTACTAGTTCAATGAATGAGATATTAAGGAAAACAATTTGAGAGGCAGGGTGTGTTGGAAACAATGGGATTGCCCAATTGCAGATAAAAGGTTTTTATTACAGATAAATATCCTATGGAGGCAGTGAAATATAGTTAAGGGAAGGTCGGAGAAGAATTTCGATTTAGAAGACCCATGCTTGAGTTTCAGCTGTGCCATTTTGTGCTTTGTATAGTGCTGAGCAAATGCCTTAATTAACCCAACTTAATTTTTTCATTGTTTCATCTAAGAAAACAAATGTGAAATACACAAAAGACTATTAAAAAGCATGAAAATGGTGAGGATGAAATCCTCAAAGTTTGATACATATGAGGATTAAAATGATAAACAGTTTGACATCTTTTCTCCAAAGCAATTTCCAGGATACCTTCTTTTTTATTTAACAACCAAAGCATGAGAATCAGAAATTCCCTTCGAAACTAAAAACCTATATTAAGTGAATATTAAACAAAAGGGGCAAGTAGGCCAAAGAATTTGGAGTTGACTTTTAAAGAGAAGATGTAATTATTTTTTCCTCCAATAACATAATCTATTTCATTTAAACACTTTTTCTCAACTACAATTTTTCAACCAAAATAATGAAAAAGGTACCACATAAACAAAGGCAAATTTTAGTTCAAAGAGCTAGATGAACTGAGACAATAGCAAAGAACACAAATACATAATCACAAAGTAGCTTACAAATAAAAATTCATATAAGTCAATGGTTCTATAACTAAAGACAAGTGCCAAAAGTTGTCTAAGGTATTTATTTGCATATCAAAACCCATCCTTCAAATTCTCTACAGCTAACAGGATAACTTCACAATTCATTTTTCAGTGAAATATAGAGTATTATATAGCTGAAATATAAATGGAGTACTAAAGAAAAAAATGACCTTATTTTACAAATAACCTAACATTCATTCATTCCTTCATTTAACCACAGTTACTAAGTACAAAAATGAATCAAACTTCAAGGATAAAACGAAGCATGAAAACTACATGGTTCCTAACATTATGGATGCTACAAATTAGTATGAGAAAAGAACATACGAAAAAATAATAGGAATACATAAAAATATTATACTAGAGCTATACTATAGGGTAAAGAACAACGAACTTTTGTTTCTTTTTTCACATTTATAAAACTCAAAAAGTTAGCAAGAAAAATAACAACCCAAGTAATGGACAAATAATAACAAAATAGAAAACTCTCTTACTTGGAAAATCCTTTCCATCTGGATAGTAATATTCTGTGAATTCTATATAGACAGCTGACATTTCTTGTGGAAGATACAGTGATTTTTTATTGCAAGAAATCATACTTTTAGGGGAAGAACGACACTGTTCTGCTGTAGAGACCTGAAAAAAACAATTAAGTTTATTGAAGTTAACACTGAATAAATTGCTTTCCAAAGAATTTATGCTACTCGGACATCACTTCAAACTCTTAAATCTACTTCCAATAATTTATTAATGGTTAATTTCCAATGCAATTTTTATTATATATTTAATTTCACATTTAATTATTTTTAGATAATACCAATTAACTTATTCAGAAAACGATAACCTATTTGGATCCTACCAATTACAAAATCAACTGTGTATAACTTTCCTTGCAAACTTACTACTTTGAGTCTTACAATAACAGATATAATATTTTGTGAGACAACACAAAAATAAGTAAATGGCAGAGTCAGGACAGAGATCCAAGTCCTCAAGACTAGCCTGCTTCCCAAGTATGTACTTTATAATAATTCTTTACCATAATTTATTATTATGAAAAATAATGTAAGTATATACAGTTTCAGTTTGGAATAATAAAAAATATTATGGAGATGGATAGTGGTGAAGGTTGCACAACAGTGTGAATATACTTAATGTCAATGAATTGTGCACCAAAAAAGTTAAAATGATAAATTTTATATATTATATATATTTGACCTATAAGTAAATTATACCAATAAAAATTAATTAAAAAATAGTAAAACTATAAATGCTCCTGTCAAATAGTTTGATTATTTATATTATTTTTCCAAAAAGACTATTAGTTTTAAGGTTCTTGTTAACATTTTCACTCTCCCCTCAAAACAGCTAATTTATAATTTTCACTCTCCCCTCAAAACAGCTAATTTATAATTACATCAAAAATGTGTATACTAATTTCCCAAAATTCAACCAATATCATTTTATCAATTTTACTTATTTATACTTGCTCAGTAGACTCAAAAATGCATTTCAAGATTTTTTTTAAAAAAAATTCATTCAACAAACATGTATATTTCTCATATAAAGTGGAAAGTTTTTTCAATGTTTCCTCTTGTATAAATTGCTGATCAAACCTTCTGACTTTTTGCAGTCTTCATAAAATTAAGTCAATTCCTTATATTATCTAATTAAGAAGCTCTTCTCTGCATATATGGAAACAAATTCTTTTCAGTTCAAGAGTCTCAAGTTATTTTAGTAGACAACAGCTTACTTCTTTTTTCCTTTAACAGTTAAAAAGTTACTCAAATTAGGATGAACATTCTATCTTATTTCTTCCAGTTACTTTGTTTGTTTTGTTCTGGTGTGTTTGTATGTGGGATTTCTTTACTGTATTTCACCCTCAAGTATATGGGATTATGGGTAATTCTCCTTTCCCATTTCCATATGACTAATATATGATGCATTATATATAGAATATTAAAAAAGAAACAATTACACAAAAAGAAAAAGAACTCTTAAATCAGGGTTTCTCAAAACTAGAACTATTGACTTTTGGGGCCAGGTAATTCTTTGTTGTGAGGGCTATGCAGTGCACTGTAGAATGTTTAACCACATCACTGGTATCTACTCACTAGATAGTCAGCAGCAACCCCCTCCAGCTGTGACAAACAAAACTGTCCTGAGACATTGCCCAATGTCCCCTGGGAAGCAAAAACAGCCCCAGTTGAAAACCACCGAGTAAAATGAAAACTTTCCAGATAAAACTAAGTCTCAAAGCCACAGACTTATCAAAATATACCAGAAGAATTCACAAATGATAACACATACTTGAAATCCTTTATTTAAAAAAGAGATCATATTTTTATTGTGCTGGTCTCAAGGACTGTGATGTTAGATCATACTGTATGATTATAGTCTGAATAAGATCGTTAGTATAAATGGGACAGAGTTCTTAGCTATAAAATTAAGTTCACAGTTTAGCCAATACTTAATAGTTCAATAAAGCAAAAATCGTTTTTAATTTCTTCCACTAAAACCATAGTGTAATAAGGAATCTGGCCTCCAAAGAGAGATACCTTTTTCCCTGCTCCTGGGAGATAATTCTAAACTCTTGGTATTTCCTATTCCTAGTAGATCCCTGAGACCACAACTGATAGTTTATGTTCACAACATGACTCAGAGTGGGACTGACCACACTAGATAGTCTTAGTAGGGTTTAGAGGGTGAAAGCTTTAGGTCACCTGGTACCAAGTCCATCCACAGAGACTGACTTCAACTACATGGGCAATATTTCATGTAAATTGTTACATTCATCCTGGGAGGCTAATATGTCCCTGGGGACAAGGAAGTTCCAAATTCAGGGCCCTCTTGAATTCCACCCTATGCTCTCTTTCTATGGCTGGTCCTAATTTGTATCTTCCCCTTGTAACAAACGTGACTCTGAATATAAATGATTTCACTGAGTTCTGTCAGTTTTTCTAGTGAAATTTTGAATCTGTGGGTAGTTTAGGGAAACCCCTGAACCTACAGCTGGTGTCTGAAGTCTTGTGTAGACTTTGCAGTATGGCAGACTGTGTCCTCAACCTCATAGTTTGCCTAATTCTGGGTAACCATGTAAACAAAAATTAATGAACTGGTATTTTCTACGTACTAATTTAGCCTTTTCATAAAACTGGTCAAGGTAATTTTAAATAAAATGGTAGCACTGTTTTACAAGAGTTGCTTGCAAGAGATATGAAGGGTGTTTATCAGAAGATTTAATTTAAAAAATAAAACATACCTGGTATATAATGAAATCTGCAAGTCTAACCACAACAGAACTGGACATTAATTTAGCTTTGGATTGTTGAGATAATACTGAAGGTGCTTTGGAAGTCCCTTTCAGAGTTGAGTCTTTCTCTGTGTGAAACAAAAACTTTTCAATTTATTGCAAAATTATTTTAAACAATCACTTATTACTAAGACAGCTACTAGAAATATAGATGAATCCTAGTTTCTGAAACAAGATAATATATGTGGAAATACATTATACAGAAACTGATATAAGAATGTAAGTTATTATGATGATTACTCTGATTATTCTTTAAACAGGAATCATATCACATTAGAGATACTCTCATACAATAACTTTTGACTGGAATCCTTGTTAAAAAGTACTTGGATCCATAAGCCTAAGATATTAATGAGGTACAGGCTTTTTAGACATTAAACATAATGCTTATTTACAGAAAACATCATATTATGAACACACACACACACAATTAATATTAGGGGAACAACATAATGTTGTTATAGGTAAAATACCTGTTTGTGTGTGCTGAGGAGAGCCATGTGTTGGGGATTTAGGAGGTGAACCTACATTATGATCCTTTACAGCCTGTTTAAGCATTTCAACATTGCATTCAAATTCATGTAATAACTCGTTGGCCCATCCATTTTTTGTTTTGGTTGCATCACTAAAATACATCCAATGATTACAACTATCTCCTGTAAAATGAATAATACGTATTTCACTAAAAAATGCACACTTCGTTTATTCCATTACAGCAATGCTTCTAATGAGATTTATTCATTTTCTCAAGAAATTCTTTTATCTTCCAAAAAATTTGCAGCTTTCACCTACTACAGACACTAATCCCCCTAGAAAATATAAGTAAAACATTTAGAATGGAGGGGAAGAGTGTCAAAAGCAAATAATCTGAGAGAGGGTTTCTATCTAGAAAACATAAACTTGGCAGAACATCACTCAAAGTTTCATTTAGAAGACATACTGCTGGTCAGCCTTTGAATGCTCAACCACTTGGCATATCTCCATTGCACAGAATCTCCAAAAAATACCATCATGGGAAAAAGTCTCTTCATCAAAGATTTGTTGTAAAGTGAGTAACTATAGTTATCTATATCTATATGTATATTTTTTAAATATAAAGGAGGAAAAATTTTTAATCAGGATTATTAGGTTTCTCTGTAGCAATTACATAATTGCATATGTAATTACATAATATTTACATAAAAGGGTTAAGAAAATAAAGTCTACTTTATGACTAAAAGTTTTACCTCTCAAATAGGAATGATTTCTATAATAAAAAATATTTTCAGTGTAAGTAATTTATAAATCAGGAAGATAGAATATCTGAGACAAAGCCCTTCAAACAAAACTCTAAACAAATAGTACAACTTTTAAATTCTGTCAGGTACTGATATACAAATGACAAACATTGGGAGACAGAAATCTGTGAACAGAAAATTTTTAACATTTTTTAATGTTCTAGAAAATCTGTTACTTGTTTTATTTATGTGTGAATTAAAAGATAAAAAGCCACATACTACCAAAATGCAGATATAAGTGTAAGGTTAAAGTACTTAATTTGGCCATAACTTACATACTTTTTGTTTTTATGCTTTGCGGGGAAAGTGCCTATCAATTTTTGATTATTAAAGAATCTATTAAATCTAACTTATTGGTGAGATTTTGAAAATACAGAAAAGTTTCTTTGAAAGTTTCCAAGAATCCCACAACTTAGCTACAATCACTATTCTCCTTTTGCTCTATATGCTTTTTTTGTTTTCTAATATACATCATTTAAAAATTCAAAATTATTAATAACTTGATTTTGTCACAATTAACTAAGTAGTACAAACATATATCTTCTATATTCTATTTTTTAAATCACTTATTTAAGATATTCTCAATTTCTAAAAATTATACTTTTTAATAATCTACATAAAGCGTAAAATAAAATGCATGAATATTTCCTATGACAATTATATCTTCTTGCTAAGATACCAGCAGGAGGAAAGATAACAAATGTCTTTATTTTCTCCTTAAAAAATTAAATTAAAACTAATAAAATATAGACAAAATGAAATAAATTGGCTATATAATTTAAAAGCAAGCTTTACATCTTTTAAAGAAATAGTTATACAAACCTGCTTTGTGATAAGGATAATAATCTATAGTTAGCTGTGTAAAAGACAGTTGCATAGCCCCTCCAGTAATACGTCTGTTTGACTCTGGGGAAATAAAAGGAAGAAAATTGAGAGAGAAAGAGAAAGAAATACTAAACAAATATCAGAAACACTTCATTCACCATACCTGCAGTCCAAGCAACGATTATTGTCAAGGTTAACACAATAAGAATTTTAGGAAATGCAATTCACTCGAGTATTTATTGAATTCCTATCATATGTAAGGTACTAGGCTAAAAGGTGAGGACACAAAAATAGCAGACCTTTTATATTTACAGCCCTAACCATCTGATAAACATTGTTTTAAATGTTTTACTTATACTTACTCATTTGCTCTTCATAGCAACCCTATGAGATAGACTAATATTATCATTAACCATTAATATAGTCCCTATTTCCTAGATAAGAAAATTAAGTAAATAGGCCAAGGTCATACAGCCAATAATTTCCTGGTTTGATCCCAAGAAATCTTAACCACTACATTGTATTATCTTGCCTCTTACTGAAGAAGAAACTGAATCTATTAGGTTAGATAAGTTGTCTAAAGTCACATAGCTATATTAAGATCAGAAGTACCTAAAACTATGTTTCAGTTTTTTTTTATGATTGTTCATTTGTTTTGTTTTTCAGATCCCACATATAAATGAAATCATAACAGTATTTGTCAACAGGTGGTTTCTGATGT